AAGTATCTATCATGGATATGAGTGGAGCTGAAGCCTTGGACGTGTTCAAACGAGGCTTGAAAGATCGAATTCGAAAGGAAGTGATGGTAAGCAATCCATCTACTGTGAATGAAGCAATCGCAATTGCTCAACGAATTTCGGGTGCTTTCGGGTGAACCAGTGAGCAATTTTAGAGATCCATCTGGTCCAACACCGATGGAGTTGGGAAACCTTCGACGTAGAGAAGGTTTTGCACCAACAAGAGGACCACCACCAAGATTTGGAGGTGAGATTAGGCGACCAGGAGTTTCAAATTTGCAAGAAGGTTATGCAAATAATGGAATGGTTCGAGGAGGAGCTGGAGTTCGTGACAATCGCCAATGCTATGCATGTGAACGAATGGGTCACATCGCCAAGTTTTGTCGAGTTCGGCCGACACAACAAGGAGGACGGCCCATGCAGCGACGACCGTTCAACAATATGGAGGGGATAGAGTATGAAGAGGTGGAGGAAGCAATTTCGGGAAACGAAGATCACCAGTAATCTTGCCTCGCGGCCTTACTGGTTCTACAAAGCGAAGAAAAGGCGAGGTTGGAAGAAGGCAATGGTTGGGAGCTCATGGAAGGAGTAAGAAGCAAGCTCAACTCATTGTCACTTACGGTTTCATGGGAGGACACAAGGTGAGAATTTTAATTGACCCTGGAGCAACTGAGAATTTTCTATCAAGGAGTGTTGCTATGAAGTTATGTTTGATGTTGATGAAGTACGTGAGTGAAGAAGTTGAATTGCCAAACGGGCAAACTGAAGTGATAGAAACACTACCACGGAGTGTAGAATTATCCATAGGTAGATACAAGGAGAGCATTGAATGGAAAGTAATTCGTTTAGCTCGATATGATGTCATCCTTGGAATGCCATGGATGGAACAATATAATCCGAAGGTAGATTGGAGAAGAAAAGTGATTACAAGTAGTGGATGGAAGATCTATGGAGATAGAATTAGATCTCAGAATAGGAATTTACCCCTCTTTGTGATGGGTACAGCATCCATTTCTAGAGATGATGTATGTTTCCTTGGACTTATAAGAGATATTGGGTCCACGGACAAACCTTACATCCCGGAGTCCTTGAACGACATTTTTATGGAGTATAAAGATGTTTTTCCACATGATCTACCTGCAGGATTACCACCAAAGAGGCGAGTAGATCACAAGATTGAGGTGATACATGGAAGTACACCAACTTGCAAAGCTCCATATCGTTTGGCTCCAAACGAATTGGAAGAATGCAAAGCTCAAGTGGAGTAGATGTTGAGCAAGGGATTCATTCAACCAAGTGTTTCACCTTATGGAGCTCCAGTACTCTTTGTGAAGAAGAAGGATGGATCCATGAGACTATGTATCGATTATCCCGGGTTGAATCAACAAACAGTGAAAAACAAATATCCATTACCTCGTATGGATGATTTGTTTGATCAACTTCAAGGAGCGAAGTACTTCACCAAGCTAGATCTGAGAAGCGGCTACAATCAAATTCGAATTGCAGATTAAGATGTTCACAAGACAGCTTTTCGTACTAGGTATGGACACTTTGAGTATCTAGTGATGCCTTTTGGTCTCACTAATGCACCAGCTACATTCATGGGATTGATGAACGATATCTTTCGCCCTTATCTAGATAAATCTGTCATTGTTTTTCTAGATGATATATTGGTGTATAGCAAAACTTTGAGTGATCATAGAAGTCATTTACGAGAGGTACTTCAAGTTTTAAGAGACAATCAATTGTATGCCAAAGCTTCAAAATGTGAATTTGGCAAGTCAGAAGTAGATTACTTGGGTCATAGAGTTACAGCTACAGGAATCCAAGTGATGAGTGAGAAGAGAGATGCCATTTAGAAATGGATAGCACCTGAGGATCAAACTCAATTGAAGAGTTTTCTAGGGCTCACTGGATTCTATCGTAGATTTGTGAAAGGTTTTGCTCGACTAGCTCAGGCCTTGACTTCCATGTTAGGGAAAGGTCAAAAGTGGAGATGGGGAACAGCTCAAGAGTAAGCTTTTCAAGCATTGAAAGATGCTTTGTTACACGCATCTATTCTCAAGTGGTATGATTCTAACCGTTTTATCAAGTTGGCCACTTACGCATCAGGTAAAACAGTAGGTGGCATACTTCAACAAGAATGGGAGGATGGATGGCATCCAGTTGCTTTCTATTCTCAAAAGTTGGTGGCGGCGGAACAAAATTATCACACGACAGAACGGGAGGAGTTAGCCATCGTGTTGGCAACCAAACATTGGAAGCATTATTTGGGTGATAATGAGTTTGTGGTGGAGACTGATCATAAACCCTTGGTTTATTTGAAAACTTAGAAGGATCTGTCCAAACGACAAATTCGATGGGCAGAGTGACGTCAACGCTTCAACATGAAGATTGTGTACGTGGAGGGAAAGAAGCAACTTGCAGATGCTCTCACACGCATGCCTTGTTTGAATCATGTTGCAGAAGTGAAAATTCAGGCAGATTGGTAGAGCAAGATGTCACAAGCCACAAAGGAGGATGAAGAGATCACTCGGGCACTACAAACTGGAAAGGCAGATAAATCTCGAGGTTTGGCGTTTTACAATCAGCGTATATGGATTCCACAAGATCACGATTTGCGCACAATGATTTTGGCAGAAAGTCATGATACAGCCATTGCAGGTCATGTGGAAGTGGAGAAAACAGTGGAGAGTATACTACGAGTGTACTATTGGCCCAAAATACGTGAGGATGTGGAGTCTTATGTTCGAAGTTGTGTTGCTTGTCAACAAAACAAGGCAAGTAATAAAAAACCAGCGGGTTTATTACAGCCTCTTTCTATTCCCGAACAGCGGTGGGAACATGTCACCATGGATCTTGTATGTGAGTTATCAAGGACTTCGTTAGGACATGATTCAGTGGTGGTTTTTGTGGACAAATTGAGCAAGATGATTCACATCAGGCCAACCACAAAAACAGTAATAGCTCCACAACTAGCTCAATTGTATCTAGATGCAGTTTTTGTGAATCATGGCTTAAGCAAAGTGTTAATCACGGATAGAGGTACTCACTTCACTAGTTTATTTTGGAAAACTTTGTTTAGTTTTTTCAAAACAAAACTAGCAATGTCAACGGCCTATCACCCTCAAACTGATGGACAAACTGAGAGGGCAAATAGAACCATAGAGGATATGCTACGAGCATTCACATTAGAAGAGCAAGAAGAGTGGGATAAACTTTTGCCACTTGTGGAATTTGCATATAACAATTCAGTTAATGCATCCACAAAAGTGTCTCCATTTTTTCTTATGTATGGAGGTCATCCTATAACTCCTTCAAGTTTGATGAGACTTCCCAAAGGAGAGGAGTTTTCGACCAAAGTTGCAGCAGTCAACGAATTCGTGGAACATATCACCGAGGACTACATCAGGCCAAGGAGAAGCTGGTGATAGCTCAAAATCGGCAAAAGCAACATGCCGATGCTCATCGTAGAGAAGTGATTTTTGAGGTTGGAGATCATGTTTGGTTATCTACAACGAATTTGTCTCTTGTAGGAACACCAAAGTTAATCTTATCACCTTGTACTTGTTGGTGAGAGCTATATAAGGGAGAGGAGAACCATTGTTGGTATCTCTCATCTTCAGAGTTTACGTTTCTATCTTCGAGTGAAATTCTCTCTAAACCCTAGTGTTACAAAGTCTGATGTGTTTGTCATTTTTAAGAAGTGAAAAGCACAAGTTGAAACTCAAACATGAGAGAAGGTGGAGTTATTTTGATCAAATAATGGCAAGGAGTACGTGTCATCGAAGTTTGGTGCGTTTTGTAAAAACGAAGGGATTATCTGCCACTTCACCAATGTTTATACTCAAAAAAACGGAGTGTCATAGAGTTTTAAATGGATGTTGTTGGATAGATTACGGAATACGTTGAACCCTGCTAATTTATCCCAGATTTTTTGGACTAAAGCCATCAATTTTACGGCTCATTTGGTAAAGCTGTCTTTTTGTAGTGCAACAAGTTACAAGACATGTAGCATAAGCTAAATGTTGATTACTCTTATCTTAGAGTGTTTGGATATGATGCTTATACATATGTTACCCGAGAATCGAGGACTAAGGTCGAATCCAAGCTACAAAATGTATTTTTCTTGATTATAAGCGTGATGTCAAAGTATACCGACTTTGGAATACTGTAGGTTGTAAACTTTTCGTTAATAGAGATATTTTTTTCAATGAGTCTAGATCATCGAAAGAGAATGAGATTGTTGACCCTGCTACTAACAAAGTCTAGTTGTCTTCTCAAAACACCATTGAGGGGAAGACTTTTCATTAAATTTCTCATGATGTGTTGCAAGTAAATGCTCCACAAGTAACAGGCGAGTCAAAAGAGCACGTGTTTGCTCCTAAAGGTACATGAGTAGCAACACATTGCTGATGAGCTACTACTTGAACCAGCACATTATGATCAACCATAGTCTTCAATTGCAAGATCAACACGTGTGCGTTGTGCGTCCGAAAGGTATGGTACTTTTCCATGTCTTTGATAAACACCTGAAAAAATTGTAATCTGATACTCTACAACAAGATGTAAATCTCTCATGATACTAAACTACTACAATACATATTGATGCTTCCTCTCCCACAACTATTCATCCACATGTCCCATAACAAATACCATAATTTCAATGACATTATAGTCAGTAAAACTTTCTTTTCAATATGATCATGCTATTATACCCTTGGAGAAAAATGAGACATTTACAATATCTTGTAATCAAGATTATGAATATGAAAGAAAAAGCCAAAATCGGCAATACTAAAGTACTAACGTATATTCCATATCGTATATCATGTTAGAACTTGCAGATGAGAAATAATGGGCGTTTGGGAAAAACACCATATTCACAAAATGTATTTTGATAGTAAAATACGGAATCAATATAACCGACAATATGTATGTATCATAACACTGTGACACACAAACACATTACCAAAGTTGGGCTTGAGTGTATGGATACAATAACGTATGAGACGTGACATATCAAAGGGTATTTTCAACAGAACGCAAGAATCTAACTTGAGGGGAAAACGTTGAACCGTACTGACGGAGGGTGAGGACAAGGCCTCGGCTTCTCGTATCCAAAGCCGGATCTTGTCCAGCGTTGGCCCATTGGGCGACAGCAGATCAGTCGCGAGTTCAATCTTCTCGATGGAGTGCTGCTTCTGCTGCCGCAGCTCGAGATGTTGGCGCAGGCGGGAGCCATGAGGCTCGCCTCGAAGATACAATTGCGAACAGTCAGCATCCACGCTGCACGAGCTCGTGCTCCGTTGCAGGAAAGCGGAGCGGCGTGGATTTCGAAAGCCAAGCCCTCGACCTTCGCAGGCGACGCATTGGGATTGAACTCCAGCAATTTGCGGAGAGACTGCAGAGCGAGTACCTTTCTGATCAAGAGTGCGCTCAACACAAGCACTAGTCCTGAAAACTCTGAAGATGGCGGTGGTCCGTTCGGATTTGGCACCACGCGATTGGGGCGAATTATTGCGAATAGGCAGAGAGATTTCACGAATAAGTTCAACACTGTGAGAAAAAAGTTTCCCCTCAAGATTTTTCTGCTTCTGTTAGGGTATTATTCGGCGAATGCCTTGGCCACCATTTTAGGACAGACAGGAGATTGGGATGTGCTGGCTGCCGGGATTCTGGTGGCTCTTATCGAAGGCGTTGGATATCTGATGTATCGACTTCCGTCCGTGTTGGGAGTAAGGGGCAAGGAGCTGATTGTTTATGTCAATTTTTGGAAGTCCGGCTTCTCCTTCGGTCTGTTCGTCGATGCCTTCAAACTTGGCAGTTGAGTCAACATTCTTTCCAATTTGTGCGAGAGATACAGAAGCCGTGCATCTATGCCGAAGAGCGATTCAGCTACAGCTGCTTATGCGTGTGAAGCCAAGTCGACTACTGGACTCTTGAAGCGAAGATGACGAAAAACAATCAACTGGTTGCTGTTCTGCTTCCCAGTTAGCTTGCCTGTGGACGGCTGCATTTGCTGCCCATAGTAAGTTTTGACTGCGAAATTATGGGTTTTGTGAAATCGTTACATCCCATTGTTCTCTTCAATGTCGGATGAGCGAGCGACCCCTGGCGTCCATATCGAAAGGAGATTTTTTCTGTACATTATCTGCTAGCAGGTAATGCATTAGGTCAGGGCTACCTGCATTAATGCATTGCATTACCTGCTTGCTAATAAACTTCGAATTACGTTTGAAGAGGGAGCTTTCTAGTCAGAGTTGGGTGTAGTAGTTTAGTCAGCGATTGTTGGTCATCGGGTGTTGTATTTTTAGGGCGCTCTATCACGAAGTTCCGGTTGAGAATCTAGTGGAGTCTGTTGCTGCATACCTTCCGCGGCAGTGGTTGGATCGGAACCCTCATGACCCATCGCAGAAGGACAATTCATGTGTGAAATGGGAGGGATATTCCACACAGACAACGAATTAGGACGTCTGACGATATATATTGTGATGCTTCTTGGTCGGGGTACTTCCATGCTGCTGCCTACGTACATTTTCGATAACCGTGATAATTGTGAACCAAGTTGCACGGTCGGTGGGAGGAGTAACAAGGCTTTTAATCCACATTTGTATGCGACGTCCAAATTCCGGGGAATAGCAACGATTTGTCCGAGTGGAAAGACGTGGTGGGCAGGACTCAAACTTAACAGTGAAGCTATCTTGTTATCATCTGAAAATATTCAACTTATTTACCGAAAAATTTAGTATCTCGCACATTAGTGGAACAATTGAAACAAGACCTGAACATACTTGAGTTAGGCGAAGTGCCTTGCAACTGAATGAAAATCGAATGTAAGTAATCTATTTCAACACAGCATGTACGTACATACTGAAATGGGAACAAATTGAAAACATCGAATTGGGCAGCATGTACGTACATACTGAAATGGGAACAAATTGAATACATCGAATTGGGAACAAATTGCAGGATAAGCAAAGGCAACGATATAACACTAAAACTGATCCAAAATGGCAAGAAGTAAAACGCAACGAACACACACGAAATTTCAACGCCAGAGCGCGTGATCGAATGTGCAAGGATGAAAGTTCTTTGAACGATGTGGCTGCAGAAAGAAGCATGTGCTTGGATCAATTTAAAACGTTTCAGACTCGGATCTCGAATATCCGGATCGGAAGAACAAATAGGAATAGTTGTCGATCCCAAGCCCGCGCGCCTCCTGGTTGGAGAACTATTTCAAGATGATGGATCGTTCCAATCGCCTTGGAATCGGAAGTCTAGAGTATGCAATTGGTGCTGCTAAGCCATGTGCGGATGAACATTCATCATCCGAGCAAACTAATCAGAGCAATTCGGAAACGTGTGCACTTAACTGCAGACTCGAACTCAGATGATCGCTCAAATCACGTTGAGAGGGTGAACCCTGTCCTTCAGAAATCTCCCTCCCTGCTCGACGATCATGAACTTCAAAATCAAGCTGGAGCTGTGATTGATGATCGGCTGTTTCTACCGGCCGGTTCGAACTATTCCTGTTGGTGCAACGCAGAATGATACATTTTTTTTTCGAGCCGAAATGCCCTTCCATTCAGCACGTGCACTTTCCACAGATACCCACTCGCGTTAACGTCGACCAGCTCATCGTCCGTGACAGTCAACTCAAACCCGTTGTGAAGAAGGAGGACCTTTTTCATTTTTTGAACTTCATGGGGAATTTGACGTTGACGACTCAGGAAGAGTTCCTTCATAAAACATGGGAAGCCTCCGAGGTGACCATTCGAATTCGAATTGTTGGAGCCTGCGAGTCATGGAAATGCCGGAACGGGTCGAGAGGTTCATCCTCGTGGAGTTGAAAAGAAATGGACCTTCGGACTTCGTCGCTGTCGGCGCAGATGGCACATTGACATCATCGTGCACCCCAGACATGCTCCGAAAATCTGCACTGAGGATTCAGGTGAGAAGCTTTCCAGCTCGCTCTCCTCGGCTGGTTGAGAATTTGATTTCTCCGGAGAATGGTCTCGATGGATGTAGAATGCATCGGAATGCCTGATGCAAGATAGTGCTTCGACGACAAAAGCTTGGAGTGCAAATCCGAGCGTAGCCATGAGTAGCCAAGCGAGTCGAACTATCTTCGTCGGAAACATACCTGCGGGGGTCAGCAACTCGGAGATCTCAAAGGAGTTCAGCAAGTACGGTCCCATCGTAAACATCAAAAGGAAGAAATCAGCGAAGGAGTCAAGAGGCCAGAAACCAAGAATCATCGAGTTCGAAGACGCTAGCCATGCTGAAGCTGCAGTTCTCGGTCATGACAATTACGACTTCGACGGTAAAGGCTCTTTCCTTCGAGTGTATCTGACCGACGATGGCTCCAACGTCGCAGCTGAGGACAGCAGCCAGGGCCCCTGCGAAAGGAAAAACAAAAAAGCTCAGAAGGAAAAGCAGAGAGGCTGGCGCAGGGGTCGGGTGATGGTGCAGGTGCAGACGACGTAAGTGCCGCTGCTTATGAACATTCTCGTCTCATAGTAACCTCAACTCCCTCTGACGAGTCGACTCGGGTCAATTTGCCCACTTCTGGCCTTGATCTCGACGCCAGTTCACGAGAAGTCGTGCAGTCTGTTTGGAAGTGGATGCCATGTAGCTTTACATTCAGTGATCATCTCCTCTGCGACTGATCCCCTGTAGCTTAGATGGACAACGGCGTTGATTTTATTTGCGTAGGCTGCAATCCAGGAAATCCCCCGAGCGTGTCCGAATCAATTTATCAATTATAATCCATATCGATGTGAAGTCTTTCTTGAGTACACTGGTTTATGTTTATTTTGCTTGTGATATGGATACTTACACTCTCATCAGCTCGATTGCGAGCTGAAGGCCATCGGCGTTTTGGGTTGATTCCGATGGGCACAATGAGAGACGCAATGTACTGCGGACACCGCGACCTCCAGCTCAAGGTGTTGAACTCCTATCCAAGCTGCCACAATCTTGATCCTGTCGATGGAGCAGTGCAATTGGATATTGGCTTGACTGGTCATGTTTCCTCAAGAAAGGAGTCTCCTGGCACAAATTGATGATGGAGATCTGAAACCATCGACTGCGAATTTCACGGTACCTGCTACGAATGTGACACTTTGAAAGTGATGATGAACATTGTGCATCTCTTCCTCGACCAGTTCAACCCTCCCACTGAGTACGTTCGCATACCACCAGAAGAGACCAGAGTTAAGCGCAGCCCACGCCTGGTGATCCAGGGCGTTCTTTTGTGTGGGCCTCGGAGAACAAATCGACTTCTTCTGCTGTGCTCACGACCAAATCAGCCCGTGTAACTCCACTCTCATCCAGCGTATGGCAGAGATGGAGAAAGTCAACATGTCAGTCACATCCAAGAATGGCAGCAGAGTCCCTAAACGAGAGTCTTTGTTCAACCGAGTTCCCTCCCATTCGTGGTTGCTCATCTGCACCATTTACCAAGTTACACCATGCACAGGACAGTGCTTACTCATTAAAAAGTGTGGCACGTCGATAGGGTCTCACTGTAGTCCATATAGTCCTGACTAGGAATCTTACTAAGACTCGTTCGGCTAATATCAAAGGGAATAAATCTTTCGATGCGCTATTTTTGACAAGGACATTTGACTGGACCTCGTAGATTTCTCGACAATATTGAGAGATCAATCAGACTGCAAGCTAGATCAACCACGACCGTATGCTATCCGGGCTGACCTCATAGGTAATCGGGGGTTTGGCGCCCAAACGAGGCATTCTTAGAACGCGGATCTTCCGTAGACTGTCACCTAATGATATCACAAGGACGATTTGACCATCTATCGAATATCCAAGAGTATGAGCCCCGCATGAAAACTATTGTTCGCACACAGCGTATATTTTTATTAGGATCCACCGTCGGTTATGGGATACTGCCAATGGGAGAGTGCTTTCTACAAAATGCCTCATCTTGGACGCGAAACCCTTGGGTTGACGAAATAAGAACAGTGTAAGTATGCCGTCGGCCCCATAACATTCATTGTTACATCGAGGCCAAGACCCAACTTTCTTTGAAGTAAGTTTCATGATTTTGTTACACCTTATTCAATTATCTTAGAGAGATGAAACTGTGTTCTTGTTATTTTCAAGTAGTTTATATAGTGAATGCATCATTAAAGACCAGAAGCAATAACTTGCAATTTCATACAACTTCTAATTGGACAAGTCATGATAACAAGAACAGTTGGAGAGAATTTCAAGAATCGATCTGGTTTCTATATTTTATGACAATCAGACGCATTTATTTAGGGGAGCTCCACTGCTAATCTTAAGCTTGATTTAGATTGAAAAAAACCATTGAGTCAAATTTCTTGAGCAGTTTTCATTAGTTTATCCACTGCTTGATTTGAGCTAGTACTAGCTCAAGTATCTATCTATTTTTTGATTCAAAATTGCGTTAGATATAAAAGGTAGAAAGTTGACTTTAACAAAACACCTCCGAATAGTATTTTCCTCTATGTTATCTGATGCAGATTTAACCCAACCAAGTACATTCCGTACACAGGTATGATCATTGATCGGAAACTCAAAATAAGATGTACTTTCACTTGCTTGTCACAACTCATATTCAGACATTAAATGATTAAGTTGAACACGACAAAATTGAGCTTTGAAATATCAAATGATACCTTAATCAAGAGGTTGACATTCGCTAGTAGCATTTGGAGTAAAAAAATGATACACAAGTTTTCAAATCTGAAAAAAAAATTGTTGATCCAATGGGTGTAAAATCTTAGACGCACAAACGTGAGAAGTCAAGTTGTCCTGAAGAATATAGAAGATGCAGTTGCGGTCTTTGGCAATTTTGTTGTACTTGTGAAGCAAACGCATGTCAGAAGATGTATCCTGCCAAGTTTTAACTCGATGATCATAAATAATTCTGAACGTCTTACTTATGTCAGGAATGTCTTTCAAAGCACGTGGATCAGCACTCTTCGTGATCACCTGCGTGATAAACTTTTCACCTGAAGCACTAACTCCAAGTGTCATTGTAACTTGTTCTTTATTTCACTTCACTCCAGGACCATCTGAATTGACTGTGCAGTACAATCTTGATGACGTCGTGCGATGCTGTAAAGCCGATTCGTCAATGTTAATGATGCATTCAAATGATACATCGCATAACATTTCACGAATTTGTTACAGACGTTTCTCCACTTCCATGACATTGATAATGTTGTGTTCTCTACACCTACTCTTACTTGACGTTGAAAGACGTTTCAAATATTTCTCCAACCATACATTTGACGCAACAAATGTTTGCAGAGAAATTGTATGTGAAGATGTCAAATATTCTACGAAGTCAAGCAAAATTTTTTCTCGAAAAAACAAAGCTTTCTTCTTGAGCATCTCACTCGACACATTGAGCTTGGACGCATCGATCTCAACACGAACATGCCATTGTTGCACAATTTTTGCAAGAGGTTGCACTTGTGTCGATGTAGAATTCTTTTTAGATCGATCTCGATTTGATTCTTACTACACCTGTTTGATAATTTCTCTCTCTTTCCAAATATTTGAAACGGTTGTAAGTGCCACCAATATTAATGATGCTTCATGGTTGGCTCGAGGCTGATTCACAACATTCAAAACTTTCAACTTCGTCTTCACATCCAAATGCTTGCGGTTAGACATGTGTGAATAATAACAGGTGCAGATTAAGAGAAAAAAAAACTCCCACCGAAGAAGGACAGATTGCGTTGCGAGAGAAGAAAACAGTCACCTAATGCATAATACCTGTGACAAAGTACAACGAAAGAAACGCCCACCTAAAGCAAATACCACGCGAAAGTATTGGATATGCTCTTGTGAGTGACAACTCCGAATAGTGACCCTAGAACGGTTATGTGTCACTATTGGGAGGTTTAACTCTTTATTGAGACCTCACTATAGTATACAAGAGGCCTTGCAGCAACCGGAATGGATGAATGGAAACGCTGTAAGTGCTGAGAAAAACCTGAGAAATTTAACGCAATGCCTGAATATTTAAGGTCAGGTCTTATGGGAAGGAGTAAAACGCATTTACTTGTGTGAAATGCGCACGTTGTGGTCACATATTCACTTCAGAAATGGTCTCCCATGGCAGTTCAAGACTGGAACACAATACTACAAAGAGACCCAGTCTAAGGGTTTGGGGATTTAGACAAGTGGACTCGCCAGTTCTTGAAACAAGTACAGAGAAGAATTGAAGTCCACGTTTCTTCTACCTGTAGTAAAAAACCATATCCGTCTGTGTTCGTAGGGAACAAAATCCGAGTCACGCAGCTATTGACTCTTCAAGAATGAACAGCGTTGAACTTATCGACTTGAAAAACTCTCGAGCGTTTTGCGACCACGTCAGTTGCTCGAAGGAGTCTATTTCCGTGGGTGAATCTGGAAAAATTCCTCGCGATTTCACTGAAACCGGAAGAGTTTCTCAACGTGCAATCATACTTCTTACTTTGGCAGCTAACTTGCAATCCTCGAGACTCACATGAAAATATTCACGAAACAGTTTAGGATTCAACACCCGAAACTTATATAGCTAATTTCCTCTTTACATCCTACTTCGTCTATGCAACGCCCTTTTGCAGTCGAGTTTTGGAACGTTCGATCGGCTGCGATGATTACCAGCGAGATGTCCGAAAGTGTACACTGGAAGACCTCCACAGGTCAGAGATGGCCACATATCGTTGGAGCTTTCCCGCTGTGATGCTGTTGGAGCCTAGCTCCATCATACTCCTTCGGTTTCATTCATGGGTCTTCGCATACATTCTGCGATATGATTGCTATATTTTACACTTGAAGCTTTCAAGCTGTAAGAAAATATCTGGAAAGGAACGACCTGCACTTGATGAAAACAGGTCACTGAGTTCGTGCGAACTATCTAGCTTTCGTGAGAGAAGCGGAACTTACCCAATCTCGCTATTCGAGGGAAAGAAACTTGCGCTTAAGAAAACCTTCACCATCACAATGTTTTGATATATTGAGCCTTGCTTTCGATTGTCCCGACCACTCTGACGGAATGGTACACATGGGAGGTGGCCATGGAAAGGAAGAGGAAGGCTTCCACTTTTGTATGGTGCGATACGAACGTGAAGCTCGAATCCTTATGGCGATTGGGCGAAAGACATCGTGAAGGCAATTCAACCTGTCACGAAGACTCACGACTCCTGTCAACTTAGGATTTCTTTTCCTCGTTCCATGGCGTGTAGTTAATGCTCTTCTGCTAAAGGACACAAACAGGCGGCACCGCTTCCTCTCGAGGGCGTGAAGTCTGAAGTTAATTGTCTGCATTCAGAAGCGAGAGAAGAGCTCAAGTCCGTCCAAATGTGTTGTTGCTTCTTCATTGTGGCCGCATATCTACAAAGGAAACAACAATGCGGACACAGATTCTGGTACTGTACCAGCAATTAACGTAGCCTCGACGGAGGAAATTCCTGATCATCGTACCTTCAAGAAAATCTAACATTTAGATTGGGCCATTCCCTGTCAAGCACCCTAACTGGTCTATAGGGTGGTTTTAGTCTTGGAGAATGAACATTTTTTGGAGTCAAGGGGACAGCAAAGAGTAGGTTCGGATTGCCCGGATTAGTTTTTCGCACGTGTACATCAACGAAATGGAATATTAATCACTAAGATATGTTTATTTGGAGAAACCTGGACCTTCGTTGATTCAAAGTGTTTTGAGTGATACTTCCTAAAACCGATCTACAAGTCCAGTTTTTTTAGAAAAATAATAATTTATGTTGCCTTGAATTTAGTCAGATCTAGTTGGAAATCATGA